GACAAAAAAAACGGTACTCGACAATAAATAAAGTAGTAGTTCTACATCAGTAGGTCGATGCATTTCTGGTTCCATTCTACACTTAGATACTGATGAGACTACATTGAAAATAGCCCCAGGCTTAAGTTACTAAGATTTTCTCTATACGTTCATGTGTGCGTTGGCCGCTGAGAAAAAGTTTCGATGCGGGGAAAGTGACACACTTCAAGGTGTGCGCGACTACTAGACTGAACCGGGAAGCAAAAAAGCAATGCCTAAGCTAGGGCCTAAAAAATTAGATGTTATTACAAGGCCTCAGGCCTAGACTTTACAACAAAATTTGTCAGGGTCATACATGAACTAACTCTGGTATGATTCCAAATAATTTTCAATATCTATAGCTCTGTAATTCCTAGGTGTCAGTCTGAATTTTTTTATAGATTTCCTGTTGCAATAATTTTTTATCTTAATTGTAAATTAAATGTCATTTTAATTTTAATTATTTGGCGAATTATTTATTTTTGTACTTGAATTTTTTACTTAATGTTGCCTAATTAATTGTAATGCCTTTATTGTAGAATATTTATGTGTTTAGTGGGGTTGTGAAGTTGTTTTGTAATGTTTTTCTCCCCTTTTGTTAAACTTCAATTTTAAATGAGAGATTGCAATAAAGTTCTTCGTATTTCGTATTTTGTGATTCGCACACCAAACCTCGCGATCGCGAAGCTCGCACACGCGGGTCTCACTCTTCCGGCAACAAACAGATATGACCTACGTTGACCTAAATGTTGACCGATCATAATCAAGAAAAGTTTGAAAACCTCAGTACGTACCGTTTAAAAGTCTACTTTCAAATAGTGCTGAACTTTTGGTTATAAAAAACACCTTTATGTACGTCCTATTTTGGTAAACTTTTAGTATGTTGTTTTACATATAATTAAGATTATTTTTAGATCATAAAAAGTTTTGTTGCAATTTTGTCCAGTCAAATCCGTATTTCCGGTGGAATATTGGTTTTACCTTGTCTTTGATCATCCTCGTCGTTTATTTCAGGTAACTGCGTTGTAGCCGGGGGAAAATGTATCTCCATCGTTGTAGCAGTGGGTTGTGTTGTTACCATGACGTCAGTTGTCGCGCGATTCGCCCCTACGGAAACGGTTGTCTGCTCTGAAGCCGAAGTGGTCATCCGTGGCCATGGCAATTGATCTAATTAAGATAAATACAGAATGTTGACCCTAAAATACGTCTAAGCTAGAGGTTGTTTAATTATGAACGTTTTGATGTCTTGCATAGGGCCTACATCCAGTGTCCGGGGCCAATCCGTCTGGCCCTATATAAATTTAATATCATTTGAAACCAATGTGTACATGATTGTGTACGAAAGATACAATTACCGTATTTTTTCCGAATAAACGCCCTTATTTGAGAGGTCGTTTTTCGATGGAGGCGTTTAGTCGAGGGAGGCGTTTAGTCGAGGGAGGAGTTTAATTTTTTTTTTTTGTGTGTGTAAAATGGAAACGTATATATCCTGTACTCAAATAAGCGCCCCTTAATTTTCACTACCTAAAAATGTGTTATTGCGTGATTTATAGACTTATTCTAACCAGGTTAGAAAAAATGTAATTCTACTGTGGAGTAGAATATTAATAGAATGTGTTGAGAATGACGTTGCTTCCATTAGTTTAAGGGTGGGCGTTTACTCGAGAAGAAAATAAACGCCCCTGGCGTTATTCGAGGGAGACGTTTATTCCAAACGAGGATCTGGAGGGGTGTATATTCAAGGGGAAGGGGATAAATTTTAATTAAAAATTCAGGAGAAATCAGATCCAGTGACGGCACCAGAGATTCCCCGACGAGGTGTCCAAGGTCTCCGACTGGGGAAAACAGTTCCCCGACGAGGGGGTCAGGATCCCTGACAGAGCAGCGACAGAAAGTCCACACACTCCCTCATTCTGCTCCACCATGGTTGCAGCATTGATTTTTTTTCCACAACAGTGGTCCTGACGATATTGGCTCTTTCTCCAAGGGATTAAGGGTTCCCCGACGAGAAGATTTGTGACCTCCTTGGCACAACCCCACCGACGCAGCCACTGATCGGATCGCCTACCATGACGATAACAAAAGTATAACTTGAAATAGTAATACAGTACTAGCTAGTAACCTTTTTCGCAAACATAACCATACGCATCTGAGCACACCTCGTCTATCCAATAGTGGTGAAGATCGCAGTCGGAAAGAACGCAATTCTTTGACGTGTCATAACCAGGTGCACCATACCAATCTAAATATATTTAAATAAGTTCCTTATAAGTTAGGACTAATTAATTGTCGTTTGTCTTAGGC